CCTGCTGCTGGACATGGAAAAAACCCAGTCTGTTGAAGCTCAAGGGATTTCTGATGCTGCCCAAATAATGTGATTAGACCAAAAGGCTGCTCTTTTCTTTGCTGAAGAGTCTCTACTGTTTTATGCCTGTTATAAAAGATCATTTTTTGAGAAGAATTAGCTATGAACCAACTGCAATCTGCCATAAGACTGCAGGATAAGTGCCAGAGTCCACACAGTATAAGCCATGGTCTACGTTGTCCATGAAGAAGGGTGTTTACAGCTCTGTCGTGCAGCCTTTGACGAAGTAGAACGTATTTCCCCCAAAAATATTGATCCAGCACATCTCAAGGTCCCATAAAGGTTACCATACCACAGCCACCACCGATTCTCACAAGAGCAAAGCAGGAAGAGTAGCAGGAGGATGGTGCCATCTGCTGGCACAGCTGCAGGCTCATTTTGATGAAGAGCTCCAATAGTCCAAGGGAATTTTACAGACAGGCACCACTTCAAAGCAAAAGAGAAGACGGAACTGTGCAAGTTTTTCTTTCTGGTGGTGATGCTGTGGAAAAGGATGCCTGCTGCAGCTGTGGATTCCCCTGCACTGCATATTTTTAACTCTGGAATGGTTTGAGTGAAACTGATTCTGCTTGATAGTACAGGAGAGGTAAGACATTCATCTGTTTCTCGAATCTGTACAATGAAATCATCATTTATCTTTTTGGAAAAGCATCCATGTCCTCTAAGTACTAATTCTGACAGCAAGGGGAAGAATGTGATGAATAATGTGCTCAGTCTTAAGATATCAGTAACTTTGAAAAACAACAGTCATTTTACCATTACAACCTCAGACTAAAATACATGGACCACTGACGTGAAAAGTGTTCTTTGACTTTAGTACCTCAGTCAGGCACTTAGGACCTGATCCTAAAGGGGGTTCCACATGTGCACCCACTAGTTCTAAGTGTAACACACACTGAAGTGTTTAGGTTCCTCTCCTCCTCACTGTGTTGCAGACATTTTGAGGAGTGTTTTCTGATTACATTCCAGACCAGCACTGTTCTGCAGGCTGAGGACTATATGAAATTCCGTGGTCACATCCAGCCTTACCCTGATCTGATCACACAAAAAAAAAACCTGCTCCAAACTGCCAGAAGCTAGAGGTCTATTTCTGGAAGGCTCAACAGTGTTCAAGCTCTTCCCAACAATGCCATTACAGGAAGGATGAACATCACTGTGGGGGGAAAGTACCTGCTTGCCTCTGCAAGGTTCCTGCACCTCCTCAGAACACATATAGCTAGACTCTGGAGAATTTAATCTGGTGCAGCAATTCCTAGATTCCTGAAGTCTGGCCCCATTGCAGGGATACAACTTGAAAGTGATACTGATAACACAAACACACAGGGACATGCACCTGCATAAATCATTCTAGATGAATAACCTCCTGTTCTATCTCAGCTATTGTTGTTGGCGGGAATATTGCATCTCACTCTGCAGGCCGTAAGGACAGCAGTAAAGCCTGGCCACACGGGCTGATTTTGAAAGAAAATTCTTTTCTCTTTCTTGAGGATGAGTGGGAAGTCCTCAAAGATCTTTCAAGGCCTGGAGAGCTGAGGGCAGCTACAAGGCTGGGAGTCCATTGACATGCTAGTTGCAGGTAAAGGACTTGGGAGGTGCTCAGCTTCATCACCAGCAAGGCCACAGCGGGTGGCTCAAGGCTTCTGCAAGGCAGACACAGGCTCCAGTAGCGCTGCACCAACAGCAGTGACCTCATATGCAATGTTAATGCAACAAGTTAAAAACCTCAAGGTGATGTGGGGTGCACCTACCGTTCAAATTCCACCAGATCTGGGGATGAAGTGTCTGGAGACTGGATAAATTCTGGCTTCCTATCCTCCTCCATTGTTTGTTTTTCACATTCTTGAATCAAATACCAGACGCTAGAGTCACTCTCACTCACAGATTCCAAGTCTGATGCAGTGCTGGAAAGAACACACAGGAAAAAAAGCCACAGGCACAATATCTTAACTGGATTAATAAGGCCCCTGTCATGGTCACTCTACAGTCCACAGCCCTTCTTCCCAAGCCAGCTTTCTCCTCCTCCTTTTGTCTTGCAGGCAAATGAGTGGTCCTTGGTGGAGAACAGCTATATAGAAGCTAAAGGAAATACAAGCACTGACCAGAAATGAGAGCAACACCACACCTAAGAGTGTTCATGCTCTGTATGGGTTTACAGGAGTCTGGGTGAAATCTCTTAACCTTTTCCTCGCAGTGAAAGGTCTCTGCTTGGAAATTCAGTAACAATGACAGAAGTTCAGAGATACTGGGCTGGAAGCAAGTGCAAAATATTATCAGTCTCTCCTTGATTGGTATAAACCCCTACCTGTGATTGTGGAAGTGCCTCTCGACATATTCCTCCTTGACTTCCTCCAAGCTGGATGGGTTCCCATCCTCCAGACTGAAAGACTCTGTTGTCAGCAGAAAGGTTACTGTCACATTACTGGCACTTTTGGCTTCCCTCTCACCCTCTGCCCGAATCAAACAGAACAATTTCAACAACTTCATGAGCCACAGCTTTTCATTAGGCAAAAATTATGTGAAGGGAGAAACTTTTGTCTCTCCTGCAATGCAACTAGTATTACTGAGAGTTTACAATCACTGAGGAACTTAGAATCAATGCCTTCTTCCTAATGTTGGTCTGACAGAATTGATGGTGAAAACACCCAGCAAATCAAAGTCCAGGCAAGCACTAGTCAATACAGTATTTTGCAGTTGCCATGTAATGAGCAAATTCCATGTAAAAACCCCTGACAACCAACCTGTGATTCACAAGCAGTATGAAGCCTACACATATGCAGGTAAATACAGAGATTAGTTTACTTCCAAACTCTTCTCAACCAGCCTTCCCATTCGTGATCCCTTCAATTTTGCTCTATCAAACTATTCCTTCTACTTATAACTGACTTTTATGGGTTGTCCAAGGATGTGGGTTCAGAGGAGGCTGCTCATTTTCAGCACCGGGACTTTTAATTGATGTAAATTATTGGAGGTGCAGGTTGCATGAATAGCAGTGTTTCCTTCTAGCTGACACTAATCTGGACACTTAAAGGGACATAAACCCAGGTATGTCTACCCCATCAGCTCCCAGCCCTCCTTGCTGCTATGGGAGGCAGTGGCCAACACCAGGAAGCAGCAGGCACACTGGCAAGGACTTGAAGCCCCATGGCAGAAGCTGCCTCAGCTGCTAAAAGCACGTGCTAAACCTGCAGGACCCGAGGTTCCACAGGCAGTTACTGAGGAGGGCACGACAACAACCCACCAAGCTGGAAGAAAACAAACCCACAGCAACTCTCCCACCCATTTTATCGAAGTAAATTCTTAACTAGAGGCTTCCTATACTAAGAAATCCTCAACAGCTTCTCTGTCCTCCTCCTTTACCTCACACCAGAGCCTGCTGTAGTGAAGTTTAAGCTCTGGTTGTGATTGACTCATGATGCTGAGTGGTTGTGGTGGCTGTGACTTCCTCCTGCAGCCTCTCAGTGGGAGCCCAAGCATGCAGCCTGTGGTCTCACGGCAGCCCCGTATCTCCTGTGGGCCAGCTGGCAACAGGATGACAAGGGTGACAGCCCAACTGCCTGCTGCCATGAGGAATTAGTTGTTTCCTTCCTTCACCCAGGCTAGGCAGGGGTCATTTCTGTGGTGTGGTGTTTAGGGTGTCAGTAGACAAAATTTTCACTATCCCTTGCATTTTGCTACCAGTAAAGCTGCAGTTGGCTCTGATGGTTTGATGGTCTCAGCTGTGTACCTGTCTCTATTTAACAAATAAATAAAAAAACAAGTCCAGGCATTCTGCCCAAGGCAAATACTCGCATACAGTTACCTTTCATCTTCAGCAAAGAACCCAAGGCTTGCTCCAGCTTCTGGATAGATTTCTTAGCCTTATGCAAAACCTGATACTAAACATAAGAAGAAATCAGAACTGATTGCTCTCTGCTCTGACTAGATTTAGGTTTTAACATGCCTTGGTTGATTTCTTCACTTTTTCTTCACTTTGACCTTCAGTTATCTGGATGTTTCTGTGAAAACAACTGTGTTTTTTCACCAGCTACCCTTAATCATATGAAAAGGGACATGAACTAATAGCAGAGCAAATTTAAATATAAATATTTGGGTGCATGTTATGCAATATATACACATAACACCCAGTCACATAGACATTTGCTACTTAACTCTGATCTTCTTTCATCAGCAAATAGTCTTGTTTGGATTGTTGTCTTCTCAGAGCACATCCAGAAATACCATGCTGTGAAGTCTTGTTGGATGACTACCAACCTCAGGCTTAAGACTTTAGCCATCATTTCCCACGAGAATTTTGCTAGGAGAAACCTTTGCCATGTTATACTCTCAGCTACGCTGATATAAACTGGAATAGCTTCAGTGCTGCACATCATTCCTTCATCGCTTATAGAATCCATAACTGAGAACACATGGCTGATGCATTTAAACATACATGTCCCCAAAATATTTCAAGATTTATGTGACTGATGAGACCATCCACAATCACCCTAGGCAAGATGTCTACCTTGCAGAGCTTTCACACTGAATATTTTAGCCAAACACTAAGCATTAGGATTACAAGTCAACTTCTGTATTTAGGCTCTTGAAGATACTGAACTTCCTCGGCCCCTAAAAGTCACACAAAGGGCACATGATACTATGGAAAAGCAATTTTAAGAATTGATATGTGAAGACATCTCCCTTAGACTAGACAAAACAAAGATCTGTTTAGTCTTGGCTTCTGAGATCATGGCAACTTCAGCTTAACTTGCATCTTGCTCAGAATATAGCAAACTAAACTCTTATCTCAACCTGCATGAAGAGTAAGGGGCTCAGCAGGCACAAGCCCTCAATAGCAGCACTTTGCATGTTCCGAGCATCAAAGCCCTTTAACAAGGACAATTCCTGTCCTAAACAGCAACTACCCTCTCCATTTTACAGGCTGGAAAACTGAAAGTAACCAAACTAAATTTATAGGTGGCACTGTTGAAGATAAAAGGACTCTCGATGTTTATTCCTCTGCCTTGAACATGGTAATATCCATCTTTTCAGTAGCATTTTGGGTGAATTTTATCTTTATAACCAATTCTGTTTTTATTAAATAGTTTCTTAGTTTAGCAGAGACCAATAAATACTACTGGTGTTTGGTTTTTTCCTGACTTATTTTTCCAGAGTGTCTTGAAGACAGAGTGCACCTTGTAAGGCTGAAAGAATTACTCCCTCCCCTATAATTTCTTCTGTCCCTAAACTCACTATTCTGATTTCACAGCAAAATGCTGCGAAAACAGATAATTTCATCATGGGATCCCTTGATTTGTTTCCAAAACACTATAAAGAAGCCACAAAGACATAAAGTAGCTGCAAGAACCCCACAAGAAAAGTGCACATAAGGCACGTGATAAACCCATGACCCAGCAACTACCAAGTGAATAATTTCCTTAGACTGAGCTTTGAAGTAAAAGACCCAGGAAAGCTGAACACAGTGAAACTACACACACAATAGCACCTGTACCGATACAGTGGTCATCCTAATAGACCTGGTTCAGTTTAAACACACCCATGTATAACAGTGATGCACAGAGAAATAGTTGCTGCTCCTCACCTTTGAGGCTGAATTGTCCAGCTGGGATAAGACAGCTTCCCGCAGGCTGCTCAAGAGTCTTGCCAGCGTAGCCCGGTGGTGCGACTGTGACAAGCGCCGCCTTGCCACGCAGAGTTCTGCCTCTTGCCGGGGTGTCAGGGGACTGGGTCTCACTCTGCCACGCGTCTTCTTACAGGTTCCAGCTGTCTCCATCAAAAGCTGCAATGGAACATTTATTTATACAGCGTAAATATATAAGTGAAGAAGAAGAAATCTTACAGCCTGCATAGCAGAGAGACAAAAAAGGAAAGTTCAGGGTGACTCACAAACGAGTTCCAGCTCATTTTTTCGTAGGAAATCATGGAGTTTAAAATCTTCTCTTTGCCCAAGGGATGCCATCTGTAAGTAGACTAAAATCTAACCTACCACTAGTGATAAACTGGGTGGCATGAAACACACCCCAGGCGAGCCCCACACCTCCTGCAGCCCTCCCTGCAATGATTTGATGCTCCATTTCCATGGGACATCCAAGGCTCAGCCTCACAAAGCGCTGAGTCTTCTCAGCTCCCACAAACGTTACTTAAAGCCAGACTTCATCACAGCATTGGAATTTTCTTCCCAGTTAACTGTGACATCAGAGCAAGCAACAAAACCAGACACATGCACCAGGGTGCCTGATCCCCGCCCAGCTGGGCCCACTGCAGCTGCCCCGACAGCCTGACTGAGCCCAAGGCGCCTGCCCGGGAAAGCCCTTCCCGGGCAACCGGACCGATGCCCTCGACCCTTTTACTGACCACAAGTACTGCCCAGAGGTAGGAACGCCTGCCCCACTGCACGGGGAAGCCCGTGGGGGCCCACGTCGGACTCCTCAGGGGATGTACAAACCGAGCCCACCCGGCCCGCTCCGGTCAGGTCCGGTCCGCTCCCGCCCCCCTCGGTCCCCTCCTATGGCCGACCCAGCCGCGCCCCCGCCCGGCAACATGAGCCGCACGTGGCGGAGGGCCAATCAGAACATAGCCAGCGCCCGGCGACAGCC